TCCTACAGCTGCCAAGTTCAGCACTGTGTACAGAGTCTGCTGCCGATCATGAACGTTTAGTCCTTTGCAATCTTTTTTTAAGGTATTTTAATTTGTATTGCATATATTTGTTTATTTAGTGTGTTTGTGTGCACGTGTACACTCGTGCCATGGCACTCATGTGGCAGTCAGAGGACAACTTGTGGGAGTCGGTTCTCCCCTCTACATGTGGATGCTGAGGAGCAAACTCCACTAGCTAGGCTTGGCAGCAAGCGCCTTTGCCCCGTTTACAAGCTTTATCTTATGCCAGCTACAGTGCAGTGACTGTCCGTGCAGACAGCTCTGTGCCGACCTGCGTTCCTGTGTGGAGGCAGAATTCCTGGGCCAAGGATTAGGAGGTGCATTGGATACATTTAAATGTCTGAAAGTTCATGCAAAAGCTCTCTGAGGAGATCCAAATGATTTATGTTCTGACAAGGAACCTAGGAGAGCTGTTTTCCTTGGCTTACCCCTTTGCTTTGGGTCGCTTTTGCTGTTACTTATGCGCCAAATTAATTCGAATGCGTTGTTGTAAGTGAAATGATGTCTGGATGCTTCCCGTAGCGTTATTGCAATGCAGTCATGGTCTGTTGTTGTTGTTGTTGTTTTGAGACAGGGGCTTACTATGGAGCTTAGGCTGGCCTGGAACTCAGTGTAGCCCAGGCTAGCCTCCATCTCAATAGTCTCCTGCCTCTGCCCCCTGAGTGCTGGCATTACAGGCATGTGCCACCATGCCCAGAATGCAATCATATTCTTTTACATTTTATTACAGTTTTAAAAAAATTATTTATTTTGGTCTTTTTTTTTAATCTTTTTTGAGACAGGGTCTCCCTGTAGCCCCAGCTGGCCTGGAACTTGCTATGTAGACCAGGCTGGCCTTGAACTCACAGAGACCCGCCTGCCTCTGCTTCCTGAGTTCTGGGATTAAAGGCATGCACCACCACCCGGCTATTTTGGTCTCTTTTGAGACAGGGTCTCCCTGTAGCCCCAGCTGGCCTGGAACTCACTATGCAGACCAGACTGGACTCTATCTCACAGAGATCTGCATGCCTCTGGGATTAAAGGTGCAAGTTTTTAATTTATTCTGTGTGTGTGTGCATGTATACGCCTGTATGGGTGCACAACTCCTGCACAACTTGCAGGAATCAGTTCTCTCCTTCCACCAAATGGGTCCCACGGATTGAATTTAGGCTGTCAGGGTTAACAGCAGGTGCTTTTAGCCACTGAGCCATCTTGCAAGCTCAGTAATATTCTATTTAATATTCTATTTTTTAATTTAAAAAATTTTTGATTTTTAAAAAAATTTTATGTATGAGTATATTGCCTGCATGTATGTAAGTGCACCCATGTTGTGCAATGCCCACGGAGGTTAGAAGAGGGTGTCAGAACCCCTGGAGCTATAAACAGTTGTTAGCTGCCATGTGGGTGCTGGGATTCAAACCTGGGTCTTCTGCAAGAGCAACCAGTGCTCTTAACCTATGAGGCGTCTCTCCAGCCTCTCAGTAATATTCTTAATTTAAATGATATTTGAATTTGCAAGTCTAAGCACACAGAAGCTACTGTCTCCCCCACACACACACGTTTCCTACTCGCCCTCTCCTTTGTGAGACTACAAGGAACCCGCAGCTCTCCTTCACAGACTAACACACATAAGCACAGGCACACACAGAGAGGAAGCTGGCTTGTTTGACCAATAAAATTAAATCCCCAGATCCCTGCAGTTCTGTGACTGGCTTCCCACCCACTTTACAGTCTTAAAGTGGTTCTGGGATATCTTTTCTTTCCGTACAGTTTACCTAAGCGTGAAAAATTGATCTTTACGTTGCATTCTAAATTTCCAAGTATTTTATAACATTTTCTCCTTAAATGAATCTTCCATATTGCTGAAAAGAAATGTCCCTCGTTGCTTTTTTTTTCTGTTACCATCTTTTTACCTTCTCACATGCTCTTTTCCTTCAGAGAAACTAGCGCTCTGAGGTGGTTCACAGGGCACAGCCCCACTGTGGAAATATTAGCAGAATGGGCACTAGACCCTACTAGAACAATAGGAAAATGACCTGACTCCCAGTCAGGGCCAAGGTGGTCATGTGGATGGTGCCGCCTCAAATCAGGGATGTCTGGGGTCTCTACCACCTGATTGTTAGTGGTGGCAGTGATCCATGGACAGATCTGAGACTACTTCAGTGGAATAAAAGGACTACAGGGGCCGATGATAAGACCAGCTAGGTGGATGGCCCACAACTGCAATTCTAGGATTTGGGAGGCTAGGAGGTAAAGGCAGGAACATTGCCAGTTCAAGGATAGCCTGCACTACATATCAAGACTCTGTCTCCAAGACACACACACACACACACACACACGGTAGAACATTTGCCTAGTATGTGCAAGGTCCTGAGTTCAATCCCTACCACAGCAAAATGATAATAACAGCTAATGTGTCTTTGTATTTTAATTCCCAACCTCCCCTGAAAACACATACCTGCATCAGTATGAGAGGTAGGAATTCTCACCCCTACTTTAAAGATGAGAACTCAGACTTCAGAAACTTGCCTAAAGTCACATAGCCAAGTATTAAATATAAATAGATGTAACCACGAAACTCTTGCTATGAGCTCTACATTGGAGCAAGTGTCTGAAGGCAAAAGGAAAAGTTCACATTCTCCAAACCCAGCCATTTGGTGCAGCTAAAGAGTCTGAAATAAGAACAGAAGTTAGGAAGGGAGAGAGGATAGGAGGGAGGGAGGGAGGCAGGGAAGAAGGGAAAAGAAAATGAAAACCAGGAAGCATTATGTCCAGCTGGCTCATGGGAGACTGAGTACGAAGCCAAGGGCAACCTGACCTGTGCCAGCAAGGTAGTGTACTTACATACATGTAGGCAAAACACTCATACACATAAAATAAAAACAAATTAATTTTTAAAAATTTAAAGAAATATTTTGGGGTTTTTGTTTGTTCGGTTGGTTGGTTGGCTTTTTGAGACAGGGCCCCCCTGTAGCCCCAGCTGGCCTGGAACTTACTATGGAGAACAGACTGGCCTTCGGTCTCACAGAGACCCACCTGCCTCTGCCTCCCGAGTGCTGGGATTAAAGATATAGTCCACCATGCCCTAAAAGAAGAATTTAAACATTAAATTTTCATCAAATTTCATGGGCTCTGCAGGCAGACATCCAGGATTCAAGTCTTTATGTACCTCTAATACCTAGCTCAGCCTTCTCCTTCCTTCTCCTCTTCCTCCTGACAACCACACCTTACAGAGTTGGGTTAAGAGTTCAGAACTCTGACACTGCTGTGTGACAGTAAGGAATTATATGATCTGCATGGTTTTCGTGGACAGAGAAAGGAGTGCCTTCATCCCTCAAGAGGGGAATGGCAATGAGAAGGTCAAATGGCATCCAGAGAAGCACCCACTGAAACCATTTTCTTGCCTGAAGAAAGAAACTGGAAAGCACCTGGCCCTAGTCCAGCCTCAGCTGATCCAGCTGGTCTGCTGGCCTCTGCCTCATCAGAGGCACCAGCACCTGGGACAGCCCCTCCAGAGAGGCCACAGAAGAGAAGACCTACCCATAGATCGTCCCACCGGCAATGAGGGGTACTATGCTACTGCCCTTAGACCAAGCAGGCAACATAGATCCTCAAGGGACAGGACAGGGAGAGAAAAATCAGGATCTAACCTCAGTTTCCTCATCTGCAGTACCAAGAGCTCCACTTTACAGGCTGGGTTCTGTGAGTCCTGAGCTAGTGTTTGTCCAGGGCTTTGCTCCCTGCTGGGCACAGGGGCACAGAGGAGCTCCCCTGAGACTTCACAACAGATGGATGCCACCTAGGCTAACAAACATTCTAGATAAACCACTTTCCCTGCCTGAGCTTCCTCTACCATAGCTGTAGGCATCACAGTCATCCTGCCTCAGATTTGAGTTTGAGGAGGCCACCACATCACCCCCAATAAGATGGCATTTTGTAGCCCGCCAAGTGCTAAAATAGCACTTGGCAAATTGCAGTCTTGGGACCCAGAGAGCTGGGCTGCAAAACAGTTGCCGAAGAAGCAAAAAGTACTCAACACATCGGGAAAGACTTTGAGTCCTCCCCTGGAAGGGAGTCATTCAGAAGGGTTCCATTTTTCTCTGGGATAGGGTCTCCTTAAGCTCAGCCTATTCTCCAACTCACTACTATGTAGGCAAAGAAGACCTTGAACTCCTGATCCTGCTTCCTTCACCTCTCGAGTGCTGGGATTACAGCATGCACCACTAAGCCCAGTTTCTGCAGTGCTGGAGATGGAACCCATCTACATACTAGACAAGCACTCTGCCAACAGAGACATCCCCAGGCCAGGAGGGTCCCATTTAATGGGAGAAGTAGGAGGTACTGAGCAACACCAAGCCTAGCTCCCAGTCAAGATCCTGCCTTCAGATCGTATAACACCGAGCAGGCTGGGTCTAGCTCCAGAGGAGCCAGCACCTACCAATCGTGTGCAGCCAGCCAGGCTGGAAGGGGCAGTGCTGACTGTCTGGTAGGGAGAGGCGGTGACAGCTGGATCAGCACCTGGCAGAGCAATGGGACCTGAATGGGTTGCCGGGGGGCAGAAGTCGCCAGCTTGGGAGAGGTGGGTGAAGAATCATCTATCCAGCATCAAAGGCTCCAGCCGGGACTACTACGTGAGTTCAAATCCCACCTGCCAGGTGCTGGTTGCCTCAGGCAGCAACTTAACCGCAGCCTTGGCTCTTAGGTGGAAACAGCACCTGTCAGTATAGTTGAGGCAAGGATTTAAGATCCAGCCTGTTGAGCATTAGCACAGGGCACGGCCCAGCCTAAATGGCTATAAGCTGTCCTTAAGAGGAGGGCTGGGGTCAAGGTTTGTCTGCCGTCATGTCTGCAACTCCCCATGACCTAAGTCCTACCTTACACATACCTGTTACATAGCTTTGCCTAAACTGATCACGTCAGAGAGGTGTGTAGCCTCAGAGACCCCCTGCCTTCACTCTCACCTCATGCAGGAGTCTCCTCTGCAACTCAGCACGCCTCTTCTTATTTGCTTCCACTGACAGGGAACTCACCTCTCCATGAGGCAGTCTGCTCCACACACTGACAGCTCTGTCCACAAGTTCCCCGCCCTGTCAACCGCCTTTTAGTGAAAGCCAGTTTCTTGCCAGGGACTTTCCAATGTCTGGAATCCAGCCATCCCACAAATGCTAGGAGTCCTCTGAGCGGAACCCTAGTCATTCCTCCAGGAAGTCTCTCCTGAACCCCAGTCTCTCCACTCTGCTCTAAATAGCTCCTACATACGGAGCAACTCCTTCTACAGGGCCATAGACCCTCCAGGGCCTGGGTCTGCAATGCTACCTGAGGCAGAAAGCTTGCTTTGCACAGACCTGACACAAATCCCAGCAGTTCACATGTATTACCTCACTCAGTCGCCACAGAATCCCTGTGAGAATTTTTCTAAATTGTGGTTTAAGAAAAAAGGGAGGGGGCTGGGAGAAGGGCTACGGATGCCACTCAGTTTGTAGAGTGCTTGCCTAGCATGCCCAAAGCCTGGATTTGATTCCCCAGCACCTCATAAACTCAACATGGTAACTCACGCCTATAATCCTAGCACTTGGGACATGAAGGCAGGAAGGTCAGCCTCAGTGAATCACCCGAATAATTTTTCAGTGCGCAGTTCAGTGGTATTGAGCACATTCCTGTCCTACAGCCCTCACCTCACCCCCACTCATCTCCAGAACTTTATCTTACAGAACCGGAACTCTGTCCCTACTCTCCTTTTCTCTTAGCCCCTGATGACCGCCATTCTCCCTTCTGTTTCTCAGACTCCATGGCAGTGGGAATCATACAGTTTTCATTTTCATGTGCCTAGTTTATTTCACTTAGCATGATGTTCTCAAGGTTCGTCCATGTTGTAGCATGTGACTGAATTTCCTTCCATTTTTATGGCTGAATAATATTCCACTGTATAGGAATGTCCCATTTGGTTCTCCATTCTTTTAGGCATGGTGTGGTGTTTCAAGCCTCTTGGCCAATAGGAATGTTAACATACAATGAACATGGGTCTACAAGTACCTCCTGGAATCTTGCTCCTAAGACTTTTCAGCACATATCCTGAAGTAGAATTTCTGGGTTATATGGTAAATCTCCTTTAAATTGTTTGAGGGACTTCCATGGTGTTTTCTTTTTCTAATTTTCTTTTTGAGACAGGTTCTCCCTGTAGCCCAGCTGTCCTGGAACTCACTATGTAGACCAGGCTGGCCTCAAACTCACAGAGATCCACCTGTCTCTGCCTCCCAAGTGCTGGGATTAAAGGCATGCATCACCTTGCCCAACCCCACAGTGGGTTTTGCACTGAATTACTCCCCCAAATAGTGCACAAGTTTCCATTTTTTCCATATTCTCATCAATACTCATTTTCTAGCGTTTTTTTGTTTTGTTTTGTTTTTGTTATGTGTATGCGTGTACTGCCTGCATGTAGGTAAGTGCAGTTGTGTTGTGCAATGCCCTCGGAGGTCAGAAGAGGCCGTCGGATCCCCTGGAACTGGATTTATAGACAGTTGTTAGCTGCCATGTGGGTGCTGGGATTCAAACCTGGGTCTTTTGCAAGAACAACTGGTGTTCTTAACTGCTGAGCCATCTCTCCAGCCCCAGATTTTTCTGGTGTTTTGATAGTAGTCAGCCTAATAGCTATCAGGTAGTTCAGGGATATACTTTTTTATTTCCCTCCTGTAGCTCAGTGAGTTACCAAAGGTGTCACAAGCAGTAGGTGGCCAGGCTCAGATTCAAGGCCAAGGTTGTCTGCAGCTGTCCAGTGCTGTCAACAGCTCCCATCTCTGCTGCTCCACCAGTGAGGCTGCTCCTAAGAGATGCAAGACTAACTCCAGACCCTGGATTCCCTTGACTGAGGCAACCCTGTAATTAGCGCTTGAGAACAGGTCTTGGGCAGGTGGGAGCTGGGCCTCAGGCATAGCCACTGGCTTCACCACTAGACGGACCAGCAGCTGCCAGGTGTACCCTGGATGATCATCTGATGAGAGCACAGCTGCCATGCAGATTCTAGAATCGGGTAGGGTCATTGAGGCAATCTAAGTGATAAGGCAGCTGGAGGCTGGCCTGGCACATCCCATGGCATCCCACATCCCAATTGTATCATCTTCTACCTGCATGACCCTGGACAAGTTGGGAGGCTTTCTTGGCCTTATTTTTCCATCTATAAAGTGAAGGAGATTGGGGCTAGAGAGATGGCTCAGTGGTTAAGAGCACTGACTGCTCTTACAGAGGACCTGGGTTTGATTCCCAACACCCACATGGTGGCTATGAACTGTCCTTAACTACAGTTCCAAGGGAATCCAAAGCGCTCTTCTGACCTCCTTGGCACTGCACAACACAGGTGCACTCACATACATGCAGGCAATACACTCATACACATATAATAAAAATAATTAAAAAATATTTTTTAAAAAAAAGTGAGGGCGATTAACTGGAGCCTTGCAAGGAGCTGTGGGCATTGAGTGAGCATAGCCACACCATGCCAGGCTGAGAGATAGGTACAAATGCTGCCCACTGCCCCGCCTTCTCCCACCCTGCCCTTGCTACTCCACACTACTAGCTCACATCCTTTCCACATCTGTCCCTCACCACTCTGCACCTCCCCACTGGAGGTTGGCAGAGGCTTGAGATTAAGGGACCAGCCTTCTAGGTGACTCCTTTGAAGAACATTTGGTACACTAGTTCCAGTCTGCTTCTTAGAAATAAAAGAATACGCTGCTGGAGAGATGGCTCAGCGGTTAAGAACACTGGCTGTTCTTGCAGAAGACCCAGGGTTCGAATCCCAACACCTACATGGCAGCTAACAACTGTCCATAACTCCAGTTCCAGGGGATCTGACAGCTCTTCTGTCCTCTGCAGGCATTGCATGGCATGGGTGCACTTATCTACATGCAGGCAATACACACACATAAAAATAATAAATAAAATATTAAAGAAAAAAGAAAGAAAAGAAGAGGGGGCTGGAGAGATAACTCAGTGGTTAAGAACACTGACTGTTCTTGCAGAAGACCTAGGTTCGAATCCCAGCACCCACATGGTAGCTAACAACTGTTCCAGGGGATCCAATGACCTCTTCTGTCCTCCATGGGCATTGCACAACATGGGTGCACTTACATACATGCAGGCAATACATGCATACACATAAAATAAAAATAATAAATGAATTATTTTTGCCTTTTCTTGAGGCAGGCATTAAAAGCATGCATCACCACTCCCAGCCCAAATTTAAAAAAAAAAGAAATAAAAGAATAGGCCAGGTGGAGGTTGGTGCATGCCTTTAATCCCAGCACTCGAGCGACAGCAGCAGGCTGTGACACAGAACCAGCCTGGTCTACATAGTGAGTTCCAGAACAGCTGGGGCTTCAGGGAGACCAGACAGCAGCAGGCTGTGACACAGAACCAGCCTGGTCTATCTACATAGTGAGTTCCAGAACAGCTGGGGCTTCAGGGAGACGCTGTCTCAAAAAGTCCAAAAAAAAAAAAAAAAAAAAAAAAAAAAAAAAAAAAAAAAAAAAAAAAAAAAAAAAAAAAAGAAAGAAAAAGAAAAGAAAAGAAACCAGAAAGAAAGGAAGAAAAGAGCAATTATTTAGAAAAATAAAGCCAAAACGCAAAGATACATACCACTGTACTATTTGGAACTGTAGAAATTTGCACCCTAAACTCATCCACTTGAAAGGATGATGGAGAGCTACATTTATTGGCATTTTCATATCATATGGTCAGGTAGAGAAAGAATAAGAGTTGCAAACAGGTATTCTTGTGTGTGTTTGTACAGGTACTCTCCCTAATCCAAGCATGGCTGCCCGATTTGTAGCATCAGCAAGCATCACAAGCCTGTGAGAAACTGTTGGGCCCCATCCCAGGCCTTCAGCCTTGGAACCCAAATTTTAATGTCCCTTTGATGATTCATGTGTCATTATAGTTTAATAGGTGAGGAAGTGCTGGGTGTGGTGGTACATGCTTTTAATCCCAGAGGCAGGTAGATCTCTGTGAGATCAAGGCCATCCTGGTCTACATAATGAGTTCTAGGCCATCTGAGGCCTGAAAAAGGCTTCCCCCCACCCCCCATGATGAAGTAGGGCCCTGTCAGGAAAACTTCCTTATAAAATACTAGGAGCCAGGCATGTGGCTTAGAACCCAGGAGGTCAAGGCAGGACGAAGGTGAATTTGAGGCCAGCCTCGGCTGCTCATTCGGAATTGAGGACCTTCTGGAGGGAAAGGACTTGCATATTTTGCCAAACATCACACACAAATAGACAAGCATATGGAAAAGTCATTAGTCATTAGGGAAACATAAATAAAAGCCTCTTTGAGAGACTTCCCATTCCATTAGGGTAGCAATTATTAGTGATTACCAGAAAATAAGTTTCAATAAGGATGTGGAGACACTGGGACCCTTAAGCAGTATATGGTTGTTCCTCAAAAAAATGTAAAATAATTGCCATATGGTTCAGCATTTCCAAGAGGAGACTTGAAGGGACGTTCAAGTCAAGTCACTCATGTTGATAATGGCCTTATTTACATGAGTCTTGAGATGGAAGCAACCCAGGAGTCTCCAAACAGATGAATGAATAAACAGAATCCAGATATAGATGCATGTATATGCATATGTATCTATGCAATGGAATGCCATTAGGCATGAAGAGGGAAGAACATCCTGTCATGGGCTACATGGATGAACCTTGAGGACATTTTGCTAAAGAGAAATAACCCATTCACGGAACACCGTGAGTCTACTTATGTAAGTAGTTAAAAATTATAGAGATAGAAAGTAGAAAGGTAGTGACAGGAGCTGGGAGAGGGGATGGGAGTTGTTTAGTGGGTAGAGCTTCTGTTTTGCAAGACCTGTTGCACAACAGTGTACATATACTTAACAATTAAAGAATTGTTAATGAGAAAATGACTGAGATGGTGAAAAATTGCTTGTGAAGGGATAGGAATGATATGGAAAAGAAGGAGGGCAGGGGGCGGAAGAGTCCCGGCTGCTGAGAACTCAGAGGGAAGGCTGATGTGCTGGAGGGAAGGAACTGTTGAAAGAATATGTAA